TATATATATATATATATATATATATATATATATATATATATATATATATATATATTTTCTAATTACCATAATCCGTATCAAAATATATAAAATAATATTTTTTATATTGTTAATAAACAATTCGAATAAAGTTCGGATATTTTTTATGTAATTTATAAATGTTTATTAAGTAAAAATTGATACTTTGTCTGTTTAAAAAGTTTGGTATACCTGAGAAAATATTGAGAGGGCAAAACATAGTCGTAAGTACGAGCAGGTAATGAAATAGAATTACCGGACGGTATTGAAGTATTTAAGTAAAGCAGTAAATATATAACAATGATTCCATTGTAATAGAAATTAGTATATATAGTAGGTATATATACCGAATTTTCTTACTCCGGGGTCCAAAGTGAGATATGTCTCATATTCGGGCTCAACATATGACTGTAGACCGATAGAGGCATGTCTCACACACGTGTCTTAACTTTAATGACGTATACCTGAGACAAATTTCATTTTTGGTCAAACTGAAAAAATTTGTATTATATAATTCATAGTTTTATTTTATTCAAATTAGACTTACATTTATGAAATGAAAAGTTCGAATTTAATTCAATTGAAAAAAAATTTTATTTATTAATAATAAATCAATACCAATACATACTAGAATGAATACTAATTAATTTAATTTAATAACTGATTAAGTACATTACTGAATTTTGTAAAATTCTATATAAGTATCTATTACATATTGTAAAATGGTCCGTTGCGCTCAAACAGTTTCTAAAAACACTTTTGTTGGTACATCCAGGATTCGACCAGTATTTTCATCACCAGAAATATTGTCCGGCAGATCTTTATCATCTGGAATAACATTATTATAATTTTTCTTAATTCAAAAATAGTTTGGTATTGTACCATCTAAATTTACATTTATGTAGTTACTTACCACTTATTTTCAAAATTTTAGAATCTAACACTTCAAATAATTTTGATCGTTCATTATTCCACTTTAATTTTACACTAGCGTTTTCATGTCGTGAATGAACAGGTATGTATGAAATTTTAATTGTCTGTAATTGTTTTGATTTATTCCAAAAATAAGAGCATATGTTTCAATCATTTTTACAAAAATTTTTCACTTTAGTCAGAAAATCTACAATAAAGTTAAAAATAACAAACTGATCACAATTGGTTCATTTGAACTTTTCACTATATAGAATATGAGAAGTGCTCAATATGAAAGCCTAAGAAGTACTAACCGGGATATTCTTGAGATTGTTTAACTATGCTCTATTTTACTTGGTATGTATACATTGTTGTACATGTATACATGTTGTTCATAGCCAGACATATGGCCAAAATTTTTTTGAAAGTAGTGTAGACAAATAAAATTTTTATGGTTCTTTAAAGTATTAGAATCGTAAAAGTTGAAAGGTTTTCTTTGTATTTTAGTTTTTTTTCAAAGGTACAAAATTTTTAAGTATACGGGTTTCGAAAAAAATTTTTCCAATATTTAAACATTGTGTTTATTGCTTATATGAAAATTTATTATTTACATAAACAAATTTTTATAAACAAATATATTTATATAAGTTATATATACAAACGTTTCTAACTTATTATGCATATTTTTTAAATTAAATTTTGTGCTTATCAATGTATTAATCAATAAATGTTTTCAAAAAATATAACTAAATCAATTGTTATGTTTGTAAGTATTTTTTTAAGATTTCATATTTATTCGAATATAATTTCTAGAAATTTTGTACAAATCCGAAAATTTTATTAAAACAGAGAATTCTTTCAAGTCTAAAAAGATAAAAATATTTCTCAGTTCCAAATTATACCTTCTATCAAAAGAGAAAATTTTTCTAAGTGTATAAATGTGGAAATATGTCTAAGTTCCACATTATATATCTTATTTACTTCTAACTTCAAAATATTTGGATTGAGACCGAAATGAGACTTTACTCATAGACCGAAGCGTTTGAGGTCTACTTGAGACTTTTCCGAAAAATAATGACTATTTGAGACATAAATGAGACTAAAACTCACATTTGAGACCTAAAACCGTAGTTATTTTTCGACTCGGGATTATCAGACTTTTGAACTCGAAGAGCTCAAAAGCATAGAAAAGCTATCTTATTGAGCTTGGAGAGCTCAAAATAATACATAAATTGCATTTTTGAGCTCGAAGAGCTCATAAACATCATAAGTGAAATTTTAAGCGCTTATTAGGTATGTAATTAGCTGGAAGTTGCAGGGATGGCCGTCAGGGTCAACCGTTTTACTAATTTTTTTTTTTATAATAAGTCATGGCAGGCTAGCTTTGATATGTAACAATGATATTATCATGATCTCAATAAATTATAAGATAAAAATCGTGGCTGACCCAGAAATATTTTGGAAATTAAAAAAAAAAATTGTCAGACGTGGAATAGAGTTTCGTGCTCTGAATTTAATATTCATGCTCTGAACTTAATATGGCAGAGGTTTATGGGAATCCATAGGGACCTTGACAAATTAAAGGCGAGAAACACCCCCGACTCCACGATACTGATTTATTTTATTTAAGACACTATTAATAAAAATATACCGATTATAGCCACCGAAAATATGTTAGGACTGTTCATGAGCTTCAATTATTAAAAGCGTACGCTGTTTGAAAAACTTCGAAAAAATTTCATTGTACATTCAGCTCTTTATTATTAGTTTTAAGCAATATGAATTTTTTATTCACGCAAAGCTAATTTACGCGCTTCATGATAGCTGCAATATGAACCCTAAATTGTCATTTATCGATCAGCGCTAAATAAATACAGGAAAACCAAAGTAAATATTGAATACAGTTTATTAAAGTTAGTCGATGTTATTTGTTATTTTATTAAAAATGAAAGAAAATAATAAAATTTCTATTTTTTTTTAATATTCCCGAATATGTGCAATACTTTTTAATTTATTATGTTATTGAAAATCAACATTGTCTGTTGTATCAAATTGTTTTTTCTAATGAGGATTGCCTGAAATAGTATTATTTTACTATTTTTTGTACTGTATAGAATTTTTCAAAAGCATTGTTAATTAATTTTCAAAATTTGTATCGCTTAAATAATTCTACTATCTCCAGATTTGATTTGTTTTCTTTCCTGTGAGTTATCCATAAAATTTAATGGAAAATGTCAGGCTTTAACAAACGATACCTAAGTATTGTTTAAAGATCTATACGATGATAAAAATATTCACTTTATTGAAGAGAAAAAATTTTGAGCCAAATTTTAATTCTTGGTTTTCAAAATTTTTTTTTGGTTCAATAATATTTTCTCTTGGTTCAAGAAATCTACTGTCTTCAAAATAGTATTCTTGTTTGTAGATTTTTCTCTTCAGTTAATTAACTTATTGTATTTATATAGAGTTTCTATTCTTTGAATAGAGTAAGTGAAGAACTACTAAAGGGAGGGACTAGCAGTATTATATGGGCGGGAACAAAGCTATGGAAAGAAGGTTTCAGGTATTATAAGAAGGTTGAAGGACTGTTATACACCATTCATAAAATAAAAAGAAACTCATTAAATTTATTTCCTAACTTATCGCGAGAAAAATCAATGATTTTCAAAAATTAGGAAGTTTCTAGGTTCACCCTGAATTTTCAAAGTCGAGTTTCTACGACGTCTGTATGCATGACACGACGTCTGTATTTATGTGTGGGTCTGTGTATGACCCTTTTATAACTTATAAACGGCTTGACCGATTTAATCGAACTAGGCGGCGTTTAAAATAGTTTTTTCTAACTTAAACTTACAGAAAATTTGAACCATTTTGATCCCATAGATTTTTAGAAATTTCAAAAGTGAAATTTAAAAAATAATTCGTTTTTAAATAATTTTTCAGCTTAACGAACGAGTTTCAAGTTAACTACTTACGCACTGATAAAAAAATTAACTTGACTAAAGAGCCAAAATCTTGAATCAAGAATATCATTTTCTTTAAAAAGGTATTCTTAGTTAAAGATTTTGACTCTTGAGTCAAGTTCATTTTTATATCAGTGCGTTTAAAACTGCGTCGAACGCTACCAAGTTCATCAGAATCGGTTAAGGCGTTCTTGAGATATTGCATAGAAAAAAGTAAACTGTATAATAAATAACAGTCGATTAATAAAAAGTAATGATCAACTGATAAAAATTATCATTTCAAACAGTAAAGTCGTGATTTCACTATTCACTTTATAATATTTAACATTTAATCGCTACAATTAACTCTTTACATAGAATAAAATATTTTTTATCAAATTAATAATTATAACTTTGATATTTATTATTTCATACCTAAAAAATAATCGCATCATTTTTACTAAAAACTTGATGTGACGTTTTCATTGTTGTCGCTTTTCGTTGCTATGGTGACCACTTTGGCAACGGTTACCATAGGAACAGTTACTATGAAAACGGTAACTGTGGCAACGATTAAATATTAATGAGTTAAATTTGTAAAAATATTGATTCATTAAACAGTTGATAATAAAATTTTAGTACTAATAACTTATTTTTAATATTAAATTATAAATTGTGGCTTTTACACTTTCTACATCAAGTTCTGTAATATTTACATTTTTGCCACACCGATGTCCGCTTTACTGTTTGAAACTATAAAAATTAACAAGAATCCGAGTGAATATAACAGTTTACTTGTTTCCATGGGCAATTAAAAAAATTCGAAATAAATTTCTTAAAATCAATAAATTGGCATACGTACACGTGAAACCAGGTCCATTTTTTTTGATGCTCTACGATAAGAATTTTTTTTTATTCCCCATTTTTTTCTAAATAAAATTTAGTAAAGTATAAACCTGTAAAAAAATAAACCTAAAAAAAAAAAATACAATATGATTAATATAAATATAAATTGATATATCTATAAATTTTAATAGTGTATGTAGTCAATTGACACTGTTCATATACAATAAGAAATAATTTTTTAAATGAAAATAAAAATCTGAAACATTCAACAAACTAATTAGAGAAAAAAAATACAAAAATGAGATTTGGAAAATTTTCAGATACGCTATTTTTTTTATTTTTTATTTATTGATTTAATTAGAAAAAGTTATAGATATCTTGTCATCAATCAATGAGGTTACTTCTAAAACACAACTTAAATTGTCAGTAGTATAATAATAATAATAATAATAATAATAATAATAATAAAAATAATAATAATAATAATAATAATAATAATAATAATAATAATAAGCAGTGCTTGCTACGTGGCCTCCAAGCGGCGCATCGCGGGAAACGCAGACCATAACACCAGCTCTGTAGGCGAACGACGTAGCCGATGCAGTGGGCCAACTACCCACTGCATTGAAATACTGAGTTACAACAAGACGTAATCTCAGAAGTGCTCTCCACAACCGGTCCTTTTCGGATGAGGACCATTCATCAGGTGGGAGGAGCACGCCGGACCCGATGAACGTTGACGACCCTGGCGCTTTAAGGATAAATTTTAAGTGGACGGAGGAACTACGAGTCGATCTTTTGGTGTGCTACCAACGTAGCGAACGAGGGGTGAGCGGTTATATGGCCCGGATGCACACTCTTTGGAGTGAAATGCATCCGGAGCTAGCGCATTTTACGCCTAAACACTTGCGTAATTATGCCGCTTATCTTCGGCGTAATAGAAGATCGCTTGTGCTGGATAGAAGGCAGTCTAATAGACTTTCCTTCCCGGCGCAATTACACCAAGAGTGACGCCGTTCCTCCCTGGATGACAACAATCCCTTTATAGGACGGCAAGTAAGTGTATCTAAAAAGATAACTTACTCCCAACAACAGCTTGACGCGGTAAATGAAGATGTCCGTGCAAACATCCTGGAAGATTCCACCCTGCTCACTGTGAACCAGGTTGTGTATGGTGCAGCAGTTTCGGCTTTTCCGAGAGAGAGACATCGTCTCTCGATCGAGGCAAGGTTGAGACAGCGCATCTCACAACTTGGACTCAAAATTGACAGATCCCGGAAACAGGTCTCCTGCATTCAGTGTGTGATAGAGTTTGAAACAACTCAAAGAGCATACACGCCCCGAATCCGGCGCATTGCTGCAGAACTTCGGTGGCATCATCACACACTGAATAAGAGTACTCTTCTTGTCATCAAAGAAGAGTC